GAGAGAGAGAGAGAGAGAGAGAGAGAGAGAGAGAGAGAGAGAGAGAGAGAGAGAGAGAGATTGGCCCAAAGTCATCCAGCTGGCTTTCTTGGCTAAGGTGGAACTTGAACTCATGATCTCTCACTTTCTAGCCCAGTACTTTGGACATTACATTTATATAAAGGCCTAGGAGCCTCATAGATTTTGCCAAATAAATATAGGGTGTGGCAACAGCCTACTGCTCTGTTTGGAGGTATACCTATTAAAAGACACTTAAAAAGGCAAAAGTCAAGTGGTAGTGCAGACAGAGATGAAGGGCACAGGTTGAGAGAAAGTGGTTTAACAACACCAAGAAAGTGAATTATTCAAAGCTAAACAGAGATTTTAATCCAGGTATCAGATTATGATTAACATTTTATGATCACTCTCTAGAAAGACTGACATTGCGGTCCTAAAAACTGTTAGTTGAGAACAGAACCTACTGAGCTGTTAGTTGAGAATAGATCCTACTGAAATAGATCCTTCTGACTAACTATGAAAAATATTATCCTCTCAATCAAATATACAATCACTGCCATCAATACTACGGTTCATGGAGTTCCAGTGATGTTCTATTCTTCAACAAATAACTCTTGGTCTGAATGTAGTGATGTTATTAGAACTGCTATGGAAACCATACTCTTGAGTTCAGGATCTAGAGCAGGGGCAGGCAACCTTGGCTCTTTTATGACTCATGGACTTCAACTCCCAGAATTCCTGAGCCAGCTATGCTGAAGTCCACGAGTCATAAAAGAGCCAAGGTTGCCTGCCCCTGATCTAGAGCAATGTAGGAAAAAGTTACACATCCAGAAAGGGAAGCTGATTTACAAGGTAGTCCAACACCAAATCCCATTTGGTGATACTTGAGAATTAGCTGCTCCTTCTCACCTATAGATTTTGTAAATGTTTCTTTGTTTCAAACCAGCAAGGAGAAGATGCAGAAATGGTTTCTGGAATTCTTCCCAACCCCTTAATAATAGCACTGCACAAGGCCACAAAACAAGGAAGGAAGACAAAGAGGGATTTGGAATGGAGGAATCAGCAACCCCACAGACTGATTGCACCCCCCATAGGAAAGCACTGGGGAAATTTTCCAGGATTTCTTTTCCCCACAGACCCTGGCCCATATCCACCCTATTTCCAAATTTCATTTTTATTTTGTTGGTTTCTCTTGCCGCATTTGATCCCATTTTATTCAATTTTTAAGAAAGTTGTCCCAAAGGTGCTTTTTTCAAAAAGATAACTGTACTTTGTTTTTCCTTGAAGACGTTTCGCTTCTCATCCAAGAGGCTTCTTCAGTTCTGACTGAATGGTGGCGGATGGAAGGATTTAAGTCAGAACTGAAGAAGCTTCTTGGATGAGAAGCGAAGCGTCATCTCATCCAGTTGCGCTTTCAAAAAAAAAAAAAAAGCACTTTTGGGACAACCATGACCTGGATGGACTGACAATCTCCATAGACATTTGTAGAAAGTTTTGCTGTTGATGCAGAGACAGACATAATTTCTTTCCAACATAAAGCTTCTGTGCTAAATTTTGTTTTGTTTGAGAGAAGATGAGGAATGACATTTGAAGAAGAAGCAGTCTTTCCCCCCCCCCCAACACACATACGCAGACAGAAATGCATCTTGAAATGCTGTAGTCCTTCTTGTACACCTGTTACAGGTACTGCAGCTGAGGGAACAGGAAATGCAAGGTATACTGGAACTCTACTTTATTGTTATAGGGCATAATAGCAGGAGAATCTTGAAAACCTATCAGAGTTTCTCTCCGATACTAAACAGAAGCAGGTCAGGATTATCATGAGTTTTTCTTATTACACCAGGGCTAAACTGATGTTTACTTAACGCTTCCTTCCTCAAGGTTGTCTCCATATTCCCCTATATGTACACATAGGTATACATACACACGAGGTCAGAATTACTATTCAGAAAGTCTTGGCATACTGGTCATATTCAGGTTGCTGTTTTTTGTAATTATTTAGCAGCTTCTCCTAAATAAAGGAATACACAGAACCGTGCAAGACAGATTCTTCTTTTGATCTCTAGCAAGAGGCAGACCTTGGAAAAAAAACCAGCCCGAAATTCTTCAGGAAGGAAAGCGGTACTCTTGAAATCCAGTGGCAAATTCAGAGGTTTATTAATGCAAAGAGTATTTTTTAAAAAACTAAATAGCTCAAACAGTGACTTTATACACATTTAGTTCCCCATTGCAATTAAATCCTCTATCAGATCAGAATTCTATTAGCTCCAAAGGGATTCCTGCTGAAAAGATCTTTTCCACAGCTGCCCTTTCCGTGATCTATACTTGCTCTTTATATGACTCATAGCAGATTAGACAAGCCTTTTCTACCCAAATTCATTCCACACACATTGGTCTTCAATTCACATATTCAGCCAAAAGGAGCAAAGATCTTTGACTATATTGGCTAATGTTTATGGGAATTGGAGAGTAATGCACCTGGACAGGTACCAGTTAAAAACAGCTTCCCTAAGCTATACTTTGCTAGAAGAGACCTAGATCACTGCTGCATCTAGGACATGATAGAATTGTCCCAAGACACCTGGTGAATTTCAAAACAGTTAAGCCCATCACGAGCATGGATGGGCTTCCAGTGTGAAAGACACCCCCAAATTCTAAGAAATTATTTCAGAACCATTTGAGAATTCTTTTAATATCTCAAATAATTCTGAATATCTTTTTTTTTTTTTTTTTTGCCAAAGTTGAGAATATTTTTGAACTAGCCAAGAGATTTTTGCCAATCGAGATCAAACTGATGGCTTGGAAAACCCTTCTTAATAGGATAACACAATTTTGGCTATTGTTCATTGATCAAATTTTGCTTCCCTTTTGAACGTCTAATAAATATGAGAATTATTTATTTATTTTTATTAAATTTATATGCCGCCTGTTCAAGGAGACTCTTGAGTGGCAAATTAGGTTGCCCAGCATTCCCTGAAAGCTCCGTATCGAAGCACAGGGAAAGTTCCAGAGGTGACATCACCATAAGTCTCTCTAGTGATATCCAGAGAGCAAATGGAAAAATGAAAGGTGACTCCATTCAACTGACATGCAAGGACACTCGGTGGAGGAGATGGACTGTTTGCAGAGGACTACAAGTTCCAGCCTGCAAACACACCTCTGTTTAAACTGAGATGACTGAAAGCTATGTGTTTGAACAAGAACAGCAGTCTCAGATGCTGAACCAACCACCTTGTCTTCTGCTGGAAGAATACCGAAAAGGCCCAGTGTACTTTCTGACTCCTGTACATTCGTGCTTTTTGGATCAGACTAAATCAAGAGGCAATGGGGGGGGGGGAAGTAATCAGAAAAGGGTTACCTTTTGGGGGCTTCGTGCCATTTCATAATCAAAGCTGTGATGCTTTCATCAGCTTCAAACTTTATTTTCCCAGAAAGCTTTTGGCAATCTTTTAGCAGCTATTTCATCATAGTTTGTTTTTAAGAGAGCTACAAGCTTAATTGTATTTTTCTTCCTAGTGTTTTCCCACAAGTGCAGAATCTGCTTTTTTTTTTCTTTTTTCTTTTGGACCAACCAACTATTGATTCATTGGTTGTGACAGGAATTGGCTAACCAGCTTGTCATCCAAGCCTGACGTCATAGGCCAGTGGTGGCGAACCTATGGCACGGGTGCCAGAGGCGGCACTCAGAGCCCTCTCTGTGGGCACGCGTGCCATCGCCCCAGTCCTAGGCCTTCAGCTGGGTTTTATAAAACCTTTTCACTTTAGGTCTCTGCCGCCGTGTGCAAAAAAAAAAAAAGTCCAATTAATCAGTCAATTTCAACTTCTCGTGGGGAAAAAAAAGATCTTGCAAAGTTGGAACTGATTGATTGAACTTTTTAATCCCACCCAGTCTGCCGTTACCACTGCAGCCATGCTCACCCAATGGACCACACCCACCCAATTGGCCACACCCAGCCAATGGGCCACACCCACCCAGCACCCGACGATGCATAAGTGGGTTTTGGGTTGCAGTTTGGGCACTCGGTCTCTAAAAGGTTTGCCATCACTGTCATAGGCTAAGACAGAGTGACTGGCCCAAAGTCACCAGCTGGCTTTCATGCCTAAGGTGAGACTAGAATTCACAGTCTCCTTGTTTTCTAGCCCTGTGGCTTACCTACTAGAGAGAACTGGCTCTCGGCTTAAGCTTTCCCTTTCTTTCCTTAATACTCAAAAGCATCAGGAAGAAAGAGCCCTGGCACTTACCTTTGCTTCATCATTAATGTCCCAAGTGAAGGAGATGGCATTATAGGCTATCTCTTCAATATTATTTATGGTGTTAAAGCTCTCCTTATAATCAGCTGTTGACAACAGAAAGGAGGGAAAATATATTAAAATAGCTTAGTTGACTGACAAACACAGACACAAATTAGGCAAGCAGTCATTTTTCTTCTGAACTGTCTTAGAGAAGACAAAAGAAACCTAAATGTTTCTCTGGGCACCCCTTTTAAGTTTTTTTTAAGCACAGTGCAGGAAATGAAATTAAGAAATAGCAAAGAAGACAGGCAATACCTGCTACCTTTGTCATGCCCTCAATTTTGCTTGAAAAAAATGTTAGCCAGCACAACCAGGATATGTTGCTCTTCATAAAAACTTATAATAAAGGAAGATTTGCATGTGTGTCTGCCTTTAAGTGCTAAGCATTAATCCCCACTTTTATTTACAAGAGAGAAAAAAATTGACTGCAACCCAGCCTTCAAACCAAAGGAGCTGGAAATGGGCCAATCACAGCTTGGCTGTACGCAAATGGGTATCTGTAATGTCATCTTTCATCTCCTTGCCCAAACTGTACCTAGGGCTTGACGCCTGCCAGCATCTCAATCTTGGAACCTGTTTTGCAACCTCAAAGTGTCCTTTCAGATCTCTGACTAAGAAGCAATAGCAGCTTTGCTCATGTGAAGAGTGCCTTTCCCTTCTGCACTGAGTAACAACTTCTAATCCGTACATTTGTTGAGCCAAGAAGCTCCAGGGTTGATGGCATGAACTACAGGCAACTTTGAGGCCAAAGGGGTTTTGGGGATAAGAATTTTTTTAAAAAATGCTCTTTTTGGGAAGAGGGACAGAAGAAAAAGAGGATTCTAAGAAGTGATGACTGAAAATGTAATGAAGTTCAGAAAATACGATTATTCAAATTTCTGCAATGTTCAGATATGATGAACTTGATATAGGCAGATGCTGCAGCACAAAGCCCTAGCAGCCATGGCCAGTGCTATTGGAGCAACCTTGCAACCAGCTGCTTGAAACACAGTCCACCCTATGAACCATTCTCCAGCTTTTAGCATTAGATTCGTTTCAACGTCCCTTGCAAGTTCAAACTTCTGTTACTCAACTATGGATCCATTTGACCGAACGATTGGTCGGTCAATTGACCGAGCAACAGAGATTTGTATATTTGTTTAAATCTGTAATTCCCTCCAAACTGAGATGTTCTGATGGCCAGTTGGATTTCCATCTAAACCCCCAAAAGAGGGGCAGACAAGACTGGGAGCCATGGAAAGCATTGACTGAAGATGGTCCTGAGCTCAGAAGCAAACGCAACACTTGAAACCTGCTAAGTTGAGTTTTGGCACCTGCTGCTTGAGAGCTTCTTACCTATGTCAATGCACCTTTGTTTAGCTGTGTGTTGCCTGGAGTGCCAGTACTTCCAGTGCCTGAGCTGATCCTCCCGGCTTTTGTCCTCAGCAAATACAACCATGATGACACTCTGCAAAGAGGAGGAAAGAGAAAGGCGGGGGGGGGGGAGGAGAAAACCTTCTTTAACAACAAAGCCATATGGTGGGGATGGCAGAGGGGTGGGGGGTGCCTGTTTTTTGCTGAAGGGTGGACAGCAACTACCCAGGACTAGCAACTTCGGAAATTTATCTCTGCCATCTGTATCGGTGGGCTCTGAGGGACAAAGGAAGTGAGCTTTCCAAATTGAGAAGCACAAGCTTCTCAGATTTGACGAGGAGCCGCAAGGAATTAACCACGAAGGGTGCCCTGGAAGCCAGGGAAAAGGCTATAACACTTCCTCTTTCTATTATTCAGAACAGCAACACTTTTCTTTTAAAAATCTCACAGGCTGAAAAATAACGTTCTGGAGGTAGGATCTACAACAGCAGCAAAAGCAAAAAAAATCCTCAGACAATAACTTAATAACATTTCAAGATATCAAAACTCGGAATAGTTTAGGAGGCAGCATAATAATAAGTAGGCTGATTACGTTCTGTCTTTCAATGGTATTTCAAGATGTTCCCTACATTCTTCCCAAAGAAAGGAAGAACCTCTATTTAAGTCTGGTTCATTATAAGATCATAATCAGTTACATGTTTTTGCAAAATTAAACCGGCCCAGCCACAAAAATTTGTCATTGTTCATGATTTCATACTTTTTCATGGATAGGTGTTTTGATGTATGTGAATATTATGAATGAAGAAGCTAGTAATTATTTGTCAGCCTGATCTACCTAGTGATCGCTGTCAAGGGCATAAAGAAAGAATTGTACACATCTGGTCCAAAAACTACTGGGCTAAATTTAGATTACCACTACAGACTGCAAGCAAAAAAGATGTATTTATATTCTAAGGAAAAACTTGCTAAAAATGGGAGAAATAAGTTGATGGATCACATTAAAGTCAATTGAGAATAGTCATGGACTATTTATAGTCCTACAAATTATGGGTAAGCCCATAAGAAATTTGGGTCATCTACAAAGGAATCATCTCCCCTTTTGCACACCAGAAATGCTGTTACAAGCCTTTGCCATTAGTTTCTTTCCTACACACTTTCTTTAATTATAACTCACTCTAACTTTACTGATGGGTTGATGGATTCTTTCAGCACCACTAATTTCCTTCAGCGTAATGGGATAAAACTGGCCCTTGTTTAGATAAGTCATCGTATTATCTCCTGGCTTCTGCCGAAGTGATTTTGAAGCTTCCAACGTATATTCAAAGTTGTTCCTGGAAAAATTCAGAACAAGGAAGTTTTACAAACAACTTATTTCATGAAATCATCCAAACATAACAATCCCAATCCCAATGTGCTAGATGTTAGAGCTGAAGAACAAATAGTGGGACTGCCCATAAATGGCAGATATGTGAGAAATGCAGGAGGATTGGAAATGTAAGATGACATCTTCCCCTTGAATGAGGCAGAGGGTGTGCAGAATTTAAAAATGCCACCAGAAGTATCTAGAACAGCGGTTCTCAACCTATGGGTCGCGACCCCATTTGGGGTCGATCGACCATTTCACGGGGGTCGCCAAGCAAGGCTGTCCGCCATTTTTTCCCCTTTTCCGGCGGGTGCCTTACCTCCCTTGGGCTGGGCCAGCTGGTGGTCGGCCTGCTCCGTCTCTGCTGCTTGCCAGCTACGCCTCGGCCGGCGCAAAGGCGGAACCACGCATGTGCGGCGCTTCCGGGCAGGGAAAGTCCTCGACTTACAACCGGTTGGGTAGTCCTTGACTTACAACCGGTTTAGTCCTCGAATTACGACCGGTTTAGTCCTCGAATTACGACCGGTTTAGTCCTCGACTTACAACCGGTTGGGGGTCGCGGCATTAAAAAGGTTGAGAACCACTGATCTAGAATTTGGTACTCTGATTTAAAAATCTGATGTATCTCGATTGCTCAACTGCTGTGAAAATACTACACTCACTAATCTACACTTGGGTTACAATATTTTATATCTGGGTAGGATGAGAAAAAACACTGCATAGAAAGTAATAAGAGTAAAATAATAACATTTATATAATGCTTTCGAAGCACCTCATTTTCATTGTTTGATTAAAAGAGCCTCTCCACTTTCCGCCAACACAGAGACACTCTGATTAAAGCCACAAAAAGAGTGCCTGAGACCCACTAATGTGTTTGTGGTAGAAGCATTTTCTGATTCACAGCTCACTTTCTGTGGCACACCAAAAGAGCAATGAAATACACTTCCACAGACTCAATGTTAATCCACCTGCTTTTCTTCGCGAGGCCACACAGCTTTACAATCTGCAACGCCAAACTTTTAAGTTTCAAGCCAGGGGTGGAAAAGTACCTCGTTTTACCTATTCTTGTGTACATGTTCTGATTCATGTGATATTTCCAAAAGGATTAGGGGAGGAATGGCCAAATCTCACCACTCAGGGCTTCCGTCTTTCATTTCACACGCACAGCATGAGCAAGAGGAACGAGCAAATCTGAGGTGTGCCATCAGAACCCAGCTGTGGTGTAAGAGCTAAATTTGCAGGAAAAGACACTTACCCAGTAATGCTTTCAAATACATAGTCTTCAGAATTCACATTGGCCATCCGAAGATTCAGTTCAGAAGGGAAAAAAACCTGGAGATATTAAGATTTCAGACAAACAGCCTTTTTAAAATAGTACTTCAGCACTAAATTTATCATTAATAGAGTATTTGTTGACACCCATAATTCAGATATAAAACAAGCTTAGTCTAGAACCAGGTAACCCATGTATCACACTAACATAATTTGCTCACATTCAAGCTGAGTGAGCCACATCCTGTAAAATGAGCCATGTTCTCTTGCTAGCAATTTCATACCGTACAGAAGTTGCTTTTGTTTTAAATTTAGAATTATATACCCATATCCAGCCTGAAAAAAAATCTTCTATTTCTAATCCACTGGACTGAAATTTCAGGTTTACATAAGATTTAAATAGGAACTTGATATCCCTGGACAGATTAGTAAGTACATTCAGAATCAGAGGGGAAAGGAGAAGGAATGTCATTGTTATTTATTCTCAGAGCTTTTGAGTAAGTTTCTGCTTTTAAGATGGTCAACATTCAAGTAGCCAAAATTCTAAAATCTGCATTTTTAAACTTTTTCCAACATAATCTCATTATGTTTACTCAGAATCTATAGTGATTATCCTACGTGAATGTCTATAGCAGAGTCTGGACAATGAGCAAGAACAAAGGGATGACATCTGGTACATCGAAGTTCTTATAATTATTCCCATCTATTATGTTGTTAACAAAAATCCTGTTGCTTTTCCTGTTTTTATGATTTATGTAGCCATAATTTGCAACAGTAAGAACTTATTTTCATAATTCTCTGGAAGGCCAATTGTCTAGCCAAGATCACATTCCAATGTTATGTTATGTGGCTTTTACTTCACCACTACAGAAGACCCAGTTCCAGGCAAAGAACCCCCATAAGCAAAAGATGCAGGCTACTTCTGTACCTCTTGCACACCTTCTTTAAAAGACTCTGAGAAGGTGGAATCAGGAGTACGTCGCTGGGAATTTTGAGGCTGGCTGTTGGTGCTAAATTGGTCAGTGTTGAGGCTCCGATCTAAAGTCACCACCCTCTCAGGTGCTTCTGGATGATAGACATTTGGAGGAATGCCCACAGTAAAATTATGCGACTGAGTTTCTGTCTTGATTGGATGGGTGGGCATAGAGGCAATGGAGACCGTGACTGTAGTATCTGGAGTTGTCAGGTGGCCCCTTTTGTCCATGCCCATTTGGGAACTGTGTGGAAGGACAATATTCAAAGGCATGTTTTTCAAGACTTGCACTCTGTTCTCCCCAGCAGAAATAAGTGACTGTTCCGTCAGATTTGGCATACTGTTCCTAAACAAACAAGAGAACTGATTGAGTGGTAGATTAAGCGTGTGGCAGAAAGAACCAATTTCAAGAGGAGAAATGCTAATGCTGAACCCTTCTTCTATGAATGATTCTCTGTTGCTACCAGTGAGCAAAAAACTAATCCAGACAACAGAAATACTAAGCACTGAGGGAATATTTCTGACCCTTCCACTATTTGTTCCCCCTTTTTTTATTTTCTTCAGACTAGAGATAAGGGGGCAAAACAGATGCATACAATTTTTCTTTCAAACTTAGCATTTTTGAATCACAAATTCCTTAGCACCATCCTATAGTTGGTATGTCTAGCTTGCGGCTTTACACTGGCAGTTGTATTCACAAAACACACATTTTCATCAGAGTCCAAGTATCTCAAGTATAGACACTGCAACTATAAACTAAAGGCCAAACAGGCAAATCTAGTGCTGGTATAGCCAAAGGTAGCAAGTTCACATTGCATAATTAGTTATAAAAGTACCATCAGAAACTGCTAACGATTGAAAGATTCAGCTCATAATTGAAAAAGAGAAATGGGAAACTTTTCTTCCATAATATTTGAGTTCCCTCAAATCTGAAGCTGAGAGAGAAGTCGGTAGTCAGTTGCAGACTCTCCTTTTCAACTACTTTTGATGAAATCACAGAATTCTGAGCTGTAAAGGGGGAACAATAATCATATTCCATCCACTTTTCAAAATTAAGCTACAGCATTTTCTATAGATTTTAAGAAGAGACTGGACAGCCATTTATCTGAAATGGTATAGGGTTTCCTGCCTGAGCAGGGGATTGGACTAGATGACCTCCAAGGTCCATTATTATTATTATTATTATTATTATTATTATTATTATTATTATTATTATTATTATTATTATTATTATTATTATAGATCTGTAGTGATAATCTGGACAAAAAATATGAATGACTTTTGGGAGATGCCTAGTGTTTGAATTTTCCAATAATTTATAGTTATATAAGCCACACACTTCTTTATTTGATGTTAATCTACCTATATTAAGCCGAGAACAAGAGTAGAGTTACATTTGTATTATATCTGGATAAACTCAAGCTTTAAATGACTCGAAAAAGTCTTTCACTGGGTTCATATCTTGCACTAATTAAACCATAACTTGGTTGATTGGTTTTGCCATACAATAACGTGACTTGCTAACACAATTATTGCAGCTAATCAATTTGTATAAGCCAAGATACTTTGATTTAATCAACAGCTGAGGGTAAACAAAATCCTGGTGTCAGCTCAGTATAAAAAAACCAAATCTCAATGTAGTTAAAAATTATTCATTTCTTTAAAAAGGATCCTAGCTTAAAACATGTATATACACATTGCAAAACGGAATACTGAACCTTTTCCCATGATCTTGATCAGACTGGTCTATATCTGGTTTCACTGCAGAAGTTCTCCTTTCCCGGGGAACCTTAGAATATGAAATGTATCAATTACTTTATTAAAAGGACAAAAACTAAGCATAATTTTTAGGATATTAACAATTACTGGAACACATTGTATCACAAATACATTTTGAAAGCATAAGCATTTGGCTTGGAGGTATCAGCTAAAAACAATCAGTCTTGTTTCAAAGCTAACAACAACTGCTTTATCAACTGAATAGGAGATTATGGCCAAGACATTCTATTTGGTATATCTCCTATTTCAGTTTAACATTTGTTTTTAAGGCATGATGCAAATATTGTAGCAATTCTACAGTCTAAAAAAAAATAAAAATGAGTAACAATCACAGCTTTAGTAAACATGAAGTAGATTATCTGTACTTTAACAACATTTTTTTACAAAGCAATTTGCTCAGTATCCTCCAGCATGGAAATCTGCTGTATCAGCAACACCTTTGCATCCAAACATTTTTGTCTGCTAAACACAAACCATATAAATGACAGTGGGAACACCCTCTTTAAGCAACTGGCTATTTGTCAAAAAGACAAGAATGTTGTACAAAATGGCTTTAAGCACAACTTAGCAAATCAGAGGTGTGTGTGTGTGTGTGTGTGTGTGTGTGTGCAGTCCTACGTGCGTCAAGAAGCACTGGAAAAATACAGACTCAACTGTAGGTAGTGCTTTGTTTGCTTGTAAGTCAACCACAATCCACCTTGGAAGGCTATCATAATCAGAACATAGAATTTTCAGGGTTGGTCTATAATGTTTCAGGAATTCTGTTGAAACTCCAGGTTCAGTAGACTAATAAAAGATGAGATGGTGATGATGACAATGATGATAACAATTAGATTACTGAATCCCTAAGGATTCTTGGCAGTTTACAGATAAGACACATAAGAAACTATGCATAATAATCATACATATGCATGATAATCATACATATACACTGCTTTGATTTAATATACAAATACTGCAAAATTCAATTAACCAAACCAAACCAAAATGAAATAAAGCCCCAAATGCCCTTACAAGAGCTCCCTTCAGTCTGGCAGTTAGTTCTGAAGAGAGATCAGTACTCATACTTGGGTTTGGCTTATCACCTTAAGGAGGAGAGAAAAGTAGGTAAGGGTAAAGGTTTCCCTGTCCAGCCATGTTCAATTCTAGAGTGTGGTGTTCAAGTATTTAGGTCTTAATAGGAACATGAGGCTGACAAAAACCCATACAATTCTCCATTGCTAACCCCTGCATGAAGAATGCAAATTAAATCCAAGCAGTCCCAAGCTTCCATGAGCTACCTTGTAGTAGTCATACAAGAGGCCCAAAGCAGCCGCACTGTCCTCATCCCCGTTGATGCTCATCATGGCTTTGGTAGCTGCTGTAAGGGGGTTTTCAAGAAAGGATTTCCAGGCTTCATCCTCACTAGTGTATGGTCGCCTTTGGGAATAGAGGGTATCATTCTGAAGAACCAAGACAGGCCTTTTGCTTAAGAGAGAGAGAGAGAAAGAAAGAGACAGAGTGAGAGAGATTGAACAGAATACAATGACCAGTACAAAGAAGTTGAACACAAACTTTGATTGGCATCCAGAAGGTAAAGTACTTCCACCACCCATGAAAGTTGTGTGTCAGACTACAGTGCCAGTGACCACACTTAACACGAATCTAGGAGATATGAGTTGTCTTACACGCTAAGCCAAAATGGTTAGATTCAAACTTACCCAAAACAAACCCACATTATGACTTAGGATGAAATATTGGATGACAATCCGAAGGGTACCCATTCTCTGAGACCCATCATCGTTAACTGACATAGTCTGACTTCATTCACAAATAAACACAACATTTTGTAAGCTGTGCATATCTTGCATATTAAATTAACAACTTACACCTTCTTGGCCAGGCTCAATCCATTCTGCAGCAAGGCTATAGCACACAAACAAAGACACTCACAGACTGTTTCCCAGCTATGGAACTTGGCATTCAACTTTATTATTATACAATATTACTATCCCAATTTTATTTTTTAGGAATCCAAGGAGGCAAAAGATCTTCATTTTCATTAGCTTTTGATGATCAAAATTTAGAAATTGTACACAGAGACTTAAGAATGTTGATCCCATTCCTTTTTCAATGTTCCTCTAGGGTCGTGAAACTCTAAGTTTCAAGTGCACTGGAATTTCAGTATTCCCCATCATCCTGATCAGCCAAAATTAATATAGGAGGGATTTGTAACCTGTTGTACATTCAAAAATTGATTTGGTCTTGGAATGAGCCACCAATGAATATCAGATTGGGCCATGACAAAAAGAGGAATTTAATATCATTATTTATATGTGACGCAGTTAGTATGATTATCACCATTATGCTTCATCATTTTCCACTTTGGCCTGTTAAAATTTCAAATGTGGTGACAATTTCTGGAGGAGTTCTGCTTACTGTACCCCAATGAGAAGGACAGACAGCCCTAGGGCCTTGCTTGCACACCCCCTGACTTAAGAGATGTCTTATGCGCTTAAAGGACATAAGGATCTGCTGGTATTTGCCTGACATCCAATCAGATGATTAGTCAAGACCTCCCAGTCACACCTGGGGATTTGATATACAGGTAGATAACAGGTATAACCTCGCTGGAATTTAATATGTAAGAGACATTTGTTTTTACAATAAATTATTATCTCCCATTAAGTTTAAAACTTAAAGTCAACATATTTCTAGAAAAAGCTTCAGAGGAGTTACTTTTTGTAAAACAAGTAATGCAAACTTGAAAAGCAAAAGGCAAACACACAAATCTGTATTTTAAAAATATCAATTTTTGATTTCTATGTTTTGGATAGAGTCTCAAAGCTTCCTCTCCTCTGGTAAGCTAGAACACAACAATTAAGAGCTACCTGTAGCCTGACCAGTGCTGGATACATTCAAAATCTCCTCTAGCCAGCAATCTTATCCCTATCAATTCAAACTGTGTAGAAAACAGTGTGAAAGGCAACACCGTTTTTGCCCTCGAAAGAGGGCCCAATTCAAGTGAGACTTTTATTTCTGGTGACTCAGATTGATTAAACTCAGTGATTTGTCTATTTCAGTGGTTCTCAACCTTTTTAATGCCGCGACCCCCAACCGGTCGTAAGTCGAGGACTAAACCGGTCGTAAGTCAAGGACTAAACCGGTCGTAAGTCAAGGACTACCCAACCGGTCGTAAGTCGAGGACTTTCCCTGCCCGGGAGCGCCGCGCATGCGTGGTTCCGCCCCCTGCGCCAGCCGAGGCATAGCTGGCAAGCGGTAGAGACAGAGCAGGCCGACCACCAGCTGGCCCAGCCCAAGGGAGGTAAGGCACCCGCCGGAAAAGGGGAAAAAATGGCAGACAGCCTTGCTTGGTGACCCCCGTGAAATGGTTGATCGACCCCAAATGGGGTCCCGACCCATAGGTTGAGAACCGTTGGTCTATTTCTTATTTCAGTGTGCACACTTATTTATCTATTTATTTGATTTCTATAGCTGTCCAGAGTCAAGTTGGTTAAGTTGGGCAGCCATAGAAATCGAATGAATGAATGAACAAATAAATAAACAAACATTGTGTGTAGACGGAAACTTCACAGAGTAAGGCCCACTATCTAAAGGTTTTCTTTGGCTAGAAAATATGTTAAAAATATTCAACACAGAATTTTTTTTTAGGTAATTTCTAAAATGCTGTTTATCCAATATCTGTTTTGTTCCAGCAGATGAGATAATACTGCTTGAGCTGGCTTTAAACCAGTTAAAACACAGTTTGTCCTTGAGTGTGCATAAGACTTAGTATTTAAGACAAAATCAGTTTTGCTTCGTATGACATATTTCTGGGAGGGGTGGAACCACATGTAAACATAAGAAACTATCAGTCCTTGAAGCAAAAGTAGCAGAAACTTACAAAGGACAATCTTTTCTGTCAGACACTGATGTTGGGACCTATAATTCCCACAATACCAAGCCAACAATCCCCAATTATCTAAAGGCCACCTGGCTGGAGAAAATGAATCTCACTCTTGATCACACATGCCCCCCCTTTTTTTAAAAAAAAGTATAAAATATGGCTCAGATGACAGAATTGTTGGTTTCATAATTCGCTGAATAATAACCATTTCCACAAAGTACTCATAAAGGATTCCACATCAACTTGTAGAGTAATAACATTGAGAGGAATACCACAAGGCTCCAACTGTCCAATCTTTTTACTAACGACTTGGACCCAGATGATTATCATATTTCCAGATGGCCCAAACTAGAAGTGGTTAACAATTTAGAAGAGGAAGAGAAAAGACCTAGTCAGACTTGAACAATGGGCCAAAACAAACAAGACATAATTTAATTGAGAGATTTGCGAAATCCCAAAGTTAGGGAGTGAAAAGAAAAGGTGTAAGTATAAGATGGGGAGCACCTGGCTTGGTAGTAGTATATTTGAAAAATATTTAGGTGTTCTGTAGAAGATCACAAGTTGAACATGAGCCAATAGTTGTAATGAGGCTGCTAAGAAAGCAAATTTTATTTTGGGATAGATTAACACAGAGTCCAGAAGCAAAGAATAGAGCACAGGAAGATATTGTCCCAATCTGCTCTGCTTTGCTTAGATAACATTGAAATAGCTTGTTGTTCTTGGCACTGTGGTCTAAAAAGGATATTCAACAAATGAGGAAATTCAGAAAAGGGCAACCAAAATGGTGAGAGGATGGGAAATCAAGTTCTGCAAGGAATTACCTACATATGTTTTCCTGCAGAAGAGAAGACTGAGGAGAGGTATGACTGTACACTTCAGATTGTCATACTGAGGAAGAAGTAGAATTGTTGCTGTTGGCCTAGGGCAGTGGTGGAGAACCTATGGCACGGGTGCCAGAGGCGGCACTCGGAGCCCTCTCTGTGGGCACACGTGCCGTTGCCCCAGCCATGCCTCCCCCCGTGACCCCCTCACCAGCAGCCCCCCTGGAGGAGAGTCGTCCCCGAGCATGACCCACACGGAGCAGCGTAGCCAAGGACATGGCAGCCAGGCAGCGTAGACAAGACTCTGCCCTCACGTCCCATTGCGCACAGTTGATGCTGCGGGGCGCAGGCAGAGGACGTGGCTGTCATGGCACTGCTGGGCTGCCTGGGCGATCTGGGGTGGGCCCTGGAGGCAGTGAGTGGCCCTGCAGGCAGGCAGGGTGGGGGCGGAGCGGGAGTGGGGCAGGGGTGGAGTGGGGGCGGTGCCAGTTTTTGGGCACTCGGTCTCTAAAAGGTTCGCCATCACTGGCCTAGGGGCAACGATCGGAACCAATGGCTTGAACCTCACAGATTCAGGCTACATAATTAGGAGGAGTTTCCTACCAGTAAAAGCAGTCAGCCAGCAGAACAGCCCATTTCATGGACTGGTATATTCTCCTTTAGAGAAGCAGTCTGAGCATCCATTTGTGCAAAGTGCTTCAGCAGCAAGGCAGAATAAAATAACCTCTGAAGCCCTTTTCAATTCTATCATTCAAACTTTCAGATTATAGAACAAGAACTGCTGGATTTGCTCTGGGCTACAATTTGTGTTAGGGAAGGACAGAAAATCACCTAGAGTTCTCTGAAGTTTTCAATCTATTGGACAGAATTCATTTCTCAACTGCTTGATTTATATGGGGATGGAAGCCAGTGAGTTCCACTCTAACTGAAATATAGATGTGAGATGTGGTCCCCACTGCCCCACAGGGCAATCGTGTGGGATTTCACACAGGATATATTTTTCTCCCCCGTTACTCATGTAGTATTTTCATGAAAATACTCAGCAGAGATACCTAAAAAACTGAGGCATGGTGTAATATTTACTACTCTCTTTCAGTAAATCCCAAATGAAACAATAGATTTAGGTATCTTAGTGACCAGCTGGATTAAGCCAAATTATGTAACCTTGTGAAAGGTACACAGCCTAAGGGGCATTCTGGGATTTATCACCATACCTAAAATCCAAATGATGCCTGTCAAGCAAAATAGTTTTTTCCACCTTCACCTGTTTTACCATCTGTACACTCTTCTGAAAAATAAGGATTTGTCCTATTAAAAATCCATCTGTAGGTAACATCTAGAACAGGCTGCTGCTCTTTCAAGAGCTGAGAAGTTTCATTCAGTCCATTTAGTTGTGAACTGTTACTGTTACAAGTCCTAAAATAGTTAAAATTTTAATTCCGTGATGAAAAGCTAGGTTCTAATGGTTACTTTTAAAATCCTAGTAGGACTATATGTAGAGATCTGGCTTTGAAGTGTGGCCTGGAATGCGTGTGGGTGTGCATGTTAGGCCAGTCAGAATTTCCTTAAATCAAAAGCATATTTTCCTGGGATTGTATGTCTGCCACTGTGTGTGCCCATGGAAAGACACAGTTTCTTGAAGTAGCTGCTGACAGGTGCAATGTGTATTCCAAATCACCTTTTCTCTGTTAAATCCAGAAATTAGCACAGCTCTAAATTCTTTATTTTGTGGGACCATGACTTTATACATGCACCTTTTT